ACACAATCACCTCTCACACATTCTCACCTACTGTTGACTTGAGGGCAATAGGGTCATGTGAGTCATACACCCTTGAACACGCACACAAACCTTCCTTACTACATATACACACAAACCCTTGCAGTTGACCGGAAGGCAGATCTCATCAAGGTTGTATCTGTTTGTTTCTCACTCTGTCAGTCTCTGCCTTCAACACCAGGGAGTAAATTACATTCTTACACTGAGCTTTCTCTCATATTGTTAATCATTTTACCAGCTGCAGAATGGGAGAGTTGACTACAGGTTCTCATTTTTGAAATCTGAAAAATGTAGATTTATTGCATGGATACTGTTTGTAACCTTGCAAATTTCGAGTTTACTGTAAATTGATTTTGTACTCACGAACCTTCAAACTTCTGGTAACGTGACTGACAGTGATCATCTCAATGTAATGTTGGGAAACCAACGTTACATTGAGATGATCACTGTCAGTACCCTCATGTGGCAACCATCTACACCAGCATCGCACTGCGCCCTGCCATACCATCTACCAACTACTTCTATAGCACTGCGCACTTGCGGTTTAGGCTCCAATGACCTGAAGCCTAAACCGGTCATTGGAGCAAGTGGTTGCTACCAGTTGGCAACCACTTGCCAACTGGTAACCACTACCAGTTGGCAAGTGGTTGCTTGTTATTGCGGCGCCTTTTGAAAGAAGTTGGTTTCAGCACTAACGCATAACTTTCACACTGAAAGATAAGATAAGATAAGGTAAAACTTTATTAATCCCTCGGGTGGGTTCCTCTGGGAAATTCGGTAAGGCAAGTAGGCAAGTAATGTCTGTTGTCTGAGGTTTTTTCATCACACTTTTTGCCCTTTAGTTAGCTAGTGATTGTCTTCCATACTAATTGCAACCACAGCAATCTGCTAGCAATTGAAGCAAACACAAGGAGATGTGGCACCCTCTTTATGACTGATTTCACCTGTGTACAGCCAGCAGCTACTTGCCAACACACTGGAGAAAATACATTTTTCCCAAGAGGTTGCCAGGAGGTCCCTGACTTATCTCTGTGCCCGTGGGATTGAGACCTTAGGTACATATGTCTCTTATCTAGTACTTTATATCACATTAATGCCATGAAACAGATTTAAAACTAACTTTTGACCCTCTGTGGATTAGAGAATAATATATTCAAACTTATCCTCCCAATTCAGTCAATAAAAATATATACTGTACAATCATTCCATCTTGGAAAAAGAGAAGTTCAAAGAAAGAAATAAAAGCCCAAAATTGCAGTAACATTCATGCCCATGATGAGTGGATGTAAACTACTGACCACAACTATGTAGTGGGGTTGGAGGTTCAGTCCTTAATCTCTCTGCGTGGTCAGATGTTCTTAGTAAAGACACTGAATCCCCCAAGGTTGCAACTGATAGCAGCCACTGTGGAAGGGAGCTCCACAGCTACTGGTGTGTTTGAATGTGTAAATGAGAAACACACTCTAAAGCACTTATCTGGCCAAGATTAAAAGGCGTTAAAGTCCACATTATTTAAAATTTCATGAAGGATGTCATCCCTAATCTTGCTAGGCTTAGATTACAGGAAGTAAAAGAGACTTGGCAGCAGGTAAAAAATAGCCAAGAGAACCTTTTGTTCCATGGAAAGTTCCATGATCACTTGAGTAAATTGCCCAGTTACCTCAGCTATTTGAGTTAAATATAGGACTTAGAATATCAGGTCACAGGCAGTTCTCACAGTAGTTGCACCGCTTTTTCACACTGAAATGTAAAAGCTGTGTTCAAATACTTTGCTGCATAGAAATAGAATGAACTTCAAAATATATGAAACCACATTCTCTCGTTTCACTAGAACATTAAAAGGTTCTATTAATTCATCTGCAGTCGCACTTGTACATGCTTTCATTTTTCAATATGTATGGTTTCAATGACTATATTTTATATACAACTGTGCACATACGTGCTTGTGTGGAGTGCAGTCCTGTCCTGTATACATGTAACATGACGTTATCTGCAACTATTCTTTTTCAGTTGTGTTAAATCCATTGTCTGAAGTCAACACAACAGAAGTATAATACCAAACTCTTGATTTCAGGCACTGGCCTGGTATGTCAGTAGAATTTAAATTCACTTAAACAGATGTCACATTAGGTTGGACATTTCCCAAATATCAGGCATAGTCTGAGTTGTTTATAACACCAAATGTGTTTGCATATTTTTTGGCAGCGATCACTGAGTATGCGGTGTAGAATATTCATGTCTCATAACCAAAGCTATGAATTTCACTTTTAGCCCTAATCAGTGCTTCTCTTGTTTTGAACACAGATACTAAATGTGAGTCTATTTTTTTTTTAACTCCATGAGATTATCTGTCAGGCCAGCAGCCAGAAGCAGATAAGTGGCTGGGGTGATGAGCAAGCAGGACTAACCCAAAGCTCCATGTCTTTTCCTTTGTAAGCAATGATCTTTATTCCAAATCATTTGGCCAAAAACAGTAAGATGTAAAATAACAGACTATAAGGAGGGCAGAATGAAGTATAGTATAGTATTTATTTATTGTCATTGTCAAGAACAATGAAATTGCGTTTGGGGCTTCCATACAACCCCCAAAAAAAGAAGAAAATAATAAATACCCCTTAAAACCCAAGTGTACATATTTAACCCAGTGTGACTCCAATGCAATAAGACAATCCTTAGCAATAATGTTCGTAGAAATTCAGACAAAGACCTGAGAAACATGACAAAATACAACAATGCAACCCATTCAATATTATTGTACTGTGAGATATGATATCAGATATGATAGTTATCTATTTAAGAAAGAGGGGGGGGGCAGGAGGGGGAAGAGAATAAAGATATGATGCACCAATGCAGACCAGTTCATTGCTATTAAGAAGTTGGATATGGTTATTGTCCGTGAGAGGGGGGCAGAGAGTTCAGGAGCCTCACAGCCTGTGGATACAGGCTGTTGGCCAGTCTGGATGTTCTGGCCTGTATAGACCTGTACCTTCTCCTGATGATTTCCTGCTCGACTTTCTGTGATGTCTTGCCTCATGTGAATTACTGTTTAGAGATCTACTCCATAGTACTCATAGTACCAAACAGAGATGGGCAATAACGCGTTACTGTAATCCGATTACTTTTTTCAAGTAACGAGTAAAGTAAGGGATTACTATTGCAAAAACGGTAATTAGATTACCGTTACTTTCCCGTAGGAACACTGCGTTACTAAAACCGTGATTTTTTTTGCGAGAATGTCTCATGACAGTGACGTAAGCGAGTGCGACGTTCGTGACAACAGCTGTGTGCAGATCAACAATGGATCATATATCGAGTGCGGAGAGAGTATGAGCGTGCAGCGTTTAAAGCGTGGAAGTACTGACCTTACTTTGAGTTTGATTCCATAAAAAGTGACAAAAACATTAGCGTCCATCTGTGCGTGGGAAGAAAACTTCTTTTTACAGCGAAAAAACCCTAAACTTCCAAGCAAGCACCGAGTGCGCAACGACGTAATGGGAAACTCACAGAGAAACTCGCGGATTCTTCAACTGACCACTGCGGCACACCTGCACCAGGGTAAACCTCCGCCTACCCCACTCCTGCTTTACAGGTGAAAATAGAGCAACAGGACCGCTGAGTCTTTGACTTTATTTATTTTCTGCTGTGTTTTACTTGCATCTATTTGAAAGACTGAGTGTAAACACACAAAAAAATTTTATTTTATGTGCTGGAATGTGCAGAAAATAGGTTTAAATATTAAACAAATTTCTTCCAGTCAGAGAATGTTGCATATAATTAAATTTTTGCTTGATGCATAAAGTTAAAAGATTAAAACTAATAAAACAAGTTTTAAAAAGAGACTTTTCCATTTGATTACATTTTGTATGATGGATTATGTAGAAAAAGTAGAATTGGGCTGAAAGATCTATCGCTTTATCACCTCTTCAGGTTGTAAATCGTGTTTTTAAAAAGTAACTAAGTAACTAAGTAATTAATTACTTTTGAAAATAAGTAATCAGTAAAGTAACGGGATTACTTTTTTGGGGAAGTAATCAGTAATTAGTTACTGATTACTTTTTTCAAGTAACTTGACCAACACTGGTACCAAATGCTTTGGGCTTTTAATAAAGATTTTAGTACTGGTTTGGTTTTATTACTGGTTACTTCCTCCCTACCATTGCTAGATGTTGCTCATAGGGTCTATATCTTACAGTATAAAGTGACCTGAGAAAGCTGTTGTTCGATACCGGTGCTGTAACTAAATTGAACTGAAAAAGAATTCTTAACAAATTAGTAAACATTGTAATTTCAATTGTTTGTAACCAGTAAATAACTGTTAGCAGAGTTTTATTCACTATCAATTAATAATCATTCAATTGTGTTACATTAAATCTGATATTGATAATTCTACAGCTAAAGCCTCCACTCAGTGTTAATTTACTGTGTCATAAAAAAATATGTATTTGTTTAAATCATATTTTATTTGATAAATTACAATTAAAAGATCAAAGTGGAAATTTGCATGTATTACACAGTGCCCTTGTATTAATTCCTGAACTACAAATCACTTGTCTTGAATCACTGCAATATTTAATATGTTTAAATATTAAATATTATTCTATATAGTTTTCATCCTAAAAAAACTATATTAGTGCGACTGTTTGTATTTCTGTCTTAGCCAAGCTTCATTATTGCAGCACTAAGTCTGAGGGGCACTCTTGGAGCAACTATTTTAGAGACGTGCTTCCTTTGCATACACTCGACCTTTCTACTGAGTATCACAAAGTGCAGCCTGGTAGCTTTTGCACAAACATGTTGACAGACAAACAGAAAGGCAAACAAATGCCCCTGAAAACTTTCTGCCGATGCATGTCCGCATAACAGCAGTTTGAGAATTCTTGCATTGCTAACTTTCTGCTAATTTACAGATCAAGGCTCTGCAGCAGAGGTCAGTTAGTAACCTCTAGGTCAATTATTATCATTGCATGTTCTTTGTTTTGCAGGTAAACGACCGGCTGGACAGGTACTGCTGTGGATTCATACCTGATCCCGCAGAACTTTGCGTGGAGAACCTGCTTTATGCAAAGTGTGCCAACACCAAAGACCTGCTGCTGGTTCACATCCTGGTACGTATCACAGCCTGCCCTAATGCTTTTTCATCCTGTCTAGTCGCTGCAGACAGTAGACCCTTACGTTTCCTCTTTGTTCCATTATCAAAGTAATTTATGTCCCGAGACACTACAAGGCAAACATTAATCAGTTATCTTCAGTCAGCAGACCACTTTACTGGTCACTGTTTGATGGATGTGATAGCAAACAATGCTTTTCTCTTGCCATTCTAAATTGTTATTTAACCAAAAAATAATTAAGTGTCGGTTTTCTGTTGTTGCCAGATCATTATTCATTATATCAGTGGGAATGTACTGAATAAAAACCACCTTGGCTCCCCAGTTTTCGTTACACAACAATTTGTTGCTGTCATTCTTCCGTGGAAAGACAATGGTTCTATATTTAAATGATACAGCAGGAGTGGATATTAAACTCTCCGAGTGTTGATGTATGTGTATTCACAGACAGAAAATGAGTTCAGAGCCTGGCAGATGTTACCGAGCTGGAGCTGATTATGGTGTATGTGCTTCATATTGTTTATAAGAATAGATAAAAGCTCACAGCATTTCCTGCAGGAAACAAGCTCTGCAGAGAGAGTCTTGACACATCTTAGCAGCACAAAAGAAGCAACGTTAGGTACATTGGAACTTCACAGAAATTTAGACTCTTGAACAATATAAAGACAATAAAAACACCATGACGGCCCGTCAGTCCAAGTTAGTCCAGGTGTGTTGTTTTTGTACAAGCAGTCGGGTTGTGTGCTTTTGTGCTTTCTCTGGGTTAGCTGAACATCTTTGCACGCTCTGAGTGACACACAGCAGTCTGTTTCTAACATCTGTTTGTTTGTACGTCTGATGCAGTGGAGGGGTTTCTGGGCTGCATGTTCTCAAGTTGCAGTCAGACAGTTCTGTGACATAAAAAAGTGAAACATACCACGTTTGTATTTGGCCAGTCTCCCTTTTTTATGAACCCTTGGGCAGCACTGTTGATATTTTAAGATTACAGGTGCACAACTGCACTTTCATCTCAAACACCAACTTCTATGTCAAGCCAACTTGACCTTCATTATCAGGGATAATCGCTGGTGATAAAATCTACATCTGCAGGTATGACCTAACAAGGGAATCGTCATTTAAAGGGGCCAAGACATCAGGAGCATGCATGTCATTTTCTTTACAGGTCACAGGATTGTGCACTTGTTCTTCCTGTGGAGTCTGAGGGAGAATGGTCAGGCTGCCTGTGTATGATCAATACTAAAAAAATCAACATGAGCACAAAAGCTGAAATGGTAAATGGACTGATTCTTATATAGCGCTTTTCTACTCTCCCGGAGTACTCAAAGCGCTCTATACAACATGCCACATTCACACCGAATCTCACAAGCACTTTCTCTAATCCGAGTGCTTTCTAATGACATTTACACACAGTCATACTCTCTTGGATGCATCGGAGAGCAACTTGGGGTTAGTATCTTGCCCAAGGATACTTGACATGCAGGCTAGAGAAGCCAGGGATCAAACCACCAACCTTCCGATCAGTTGGTGACCTGCTCTACCTCCTGAGCTACAGCCACCCCAACCCCATCATTTTGGAATTAAGTGGATTCTTAATTCCAAAATGATGTTCCATGTGTAAACGTGCACCAATGATCAACCATAAAGACTCTGATTAATGACTGTGTGAGAGCATCACTGGCTTTATTTCCAGACTGCAGAGTGTACACAATGCATATGTCCAGGTGGGGATGATGTGTATGTGTGTGACTGGAGAAGGCAGATTGTGTTTCAGCTTTCTCGGGTGTGCGCTGTGCTCCTGACAGTGATCATGTTCACTGCAGAGATTTCACACACATAAGCTAAATGAGAGCTATCACCACGATCAATCACTTTGACGCTCTGTTCTGAAATTCTTTAATTCCCGGTGATGCTATCCTGGATATTAACCACTGATGATCTTCCTTAATGTGATGAGGAAGACTCACTACATTCATATTTGGGAAAGGTGCCCCAGACTTTTTCCTCATCCTGCCACATGCTGTCATTATCCTGTTAGCTGCTGTGAGCTACTCACCGTGAGTGTCGGTGTCAACAGTCCGACCCTCTGCTACGTTCTCCAGGAGTGTGGAAGTTGATTGTGAAACACTGAGCGGACGTTGAAATTTAATTTGGCTCACTGATACTGAAGTAACACTGCTGACATGAATGTTTATCATAAAATTAATGTTTTTCACAAAGTCTGCAAACCCAGTGCCAAAAGAGTTGGCACACTGTATAAAATGTCAGTAAAGAAAGAATGCAATGATAGAACATACAAAATATATCAGATGTTTGAAATATTTTCTCATTGTGAATTTAATGAAAGGAACACATCAGCCGGAGGAACATTTTGCACATAAGTCAGTAAGATAGGCAGCTGGTCAGTAATGTGATGGGTATAAAAAAGACTTTGGATATTTCATCATCAAAATATCCTGGGAGGCTGGAGCAATGACTCAGCGCAAAGGACAACACCAAATATTAATATTGGATGCCTGAGATCTTTGGGCTCTGAGGGCTCTGCATGAAAAACAGACATGAATCTGGCATGGAAATCAGAGCAGGGCTCAGAAACATTTCAGAAATAACTGTCTTTGAACACGTTTTGCTGTGCCATCCACAAATGGAGGTTAAAAAAGAAGCTGTATGTGAGCATGATCCAGAACCCTGGCTGTCTCCTCTGGTCCAAAGCTCATCTAAAATGGACCGAGGCAAAGTGAAAAACTGTTCTGTGACTAGACAAATTGAAATTTGAATTTCTTTTTGGAAAATACGGACGCTGCATCCTCTGAACTAATAAGGAGAGTTACCATTCAGGTTGTAATCAGCACTCATTTCCAAAGCTGATATGGGGGTGCATTAGTGTCTGCAGCCTGGTCATCTGGAAAGGCACAGCCAGTGCATCTATAACAAGAGCATGGCCTTTGTAGTACGAGAGTCTGGGTCCTGGCCTGCCTGTACTTTAGACCTTCTGGCCCATCATGAACTGAAAAATATAGTTAGTTAAGACCCAAGATTGCTGAGGAGCTAGAGTCCTATATCAGACAAAAATAACAACATTCTTCTCCAAAAAGTTTAGCAGCTGCTCTCTTTCAGTTTCCAGATGTTTATGGACGAAGAGGGAAGCTACACAGTGGTGAATGTGGCCCTGTCCTGGCTTTTATCAGATGTGTTGTTGTCATCAAATTCAAGCACTATTTCTATACTCTAAATATACCATAATATTACCTAGTAAAAGATGCTAGACTACAGTTAAATCCATATTATGATCATTCTGCACCACTGCAAAACCTTCTTTTGCCACTGAAAAGCAAACGTTTTATTTTGTAACTGAAATGCATGGACACTGTTATTCTGTGGCTAGCTTTATTGGAATGTGCATTTTATGGAGGAGAGTATTTGAATTGACGGTCAAACTAATCATCTTACTCTGCAGCTCTTGTGGCTGATACAGATGCTGTGTATCAGCCACAGCATCTGTATCATTTATTTGAAAGTCAGAGATGTTGTGAGGACAAGCAACGGCTTTGGATGGCTCAAAGCTATGATGTTTTGGCTCTGTCCCGTAACTCCTTAATGAGTTCCCCTGTCCCACATATTTCTGGTCCTTAATGATAAAGGTATTTTGATAAACAAAGCAGACTTAATTTACTTTGAAGCATCAGGAGGAAGAGGAGACTCCCAAAACAGCACAGTGAGGCAGACGAGTTTTTACAGTGAGTGATGCGCTATTAAAAAAGAAGAAAAAATGACAAACCTAAAAATATGTCAATCAACATCATTCAGTAGCTTTTTGGGTTTTCTCAACTTTTGCCTGTTGTTGTTGTTGTGAGCTTTACTAAGATTTGCATGTTTAGATAACAGCTTTGGCAACTTTAATTTTCTTTGTCACTAAATTATGTGCATGTGAGGTTAACAGTGAAATACTAGCTTCAATTACATGTTCAGAAAATTTTGCTTGTAACCAAAAAATTGAGTTGACATATTTGGTTTGGCATTGATTTTTATGCCAGGCCTGGAACCAGCCGGGGTTTTACATCAGCTTGTGATTTGGTTGAGTTGGTTGTTACAATAAAAAATGTCAGTTAAATATATTTAACTGACATTTTTTATTGTAACAACCAACGATTTATACAGGAAAATAATGACTATTAACAAGGTTGCCCAAACTTTTGCATCCCACTGTATCTGCCAAAATGCAGCTACTAATGGGACTCACACAAATCTAAAGTGTATTTTATTATCTGAATGTTACAATGTGTAATATTGGCTTTGATAAATGCTGGCAAGTTTATATGGCATGTAGCAAATCACAAGCAACCCACACAGGTGGCACAGTAGCTAATTTCATTATCATGTGGACGGATCAGGATGGGATATTAACAATGTATTGTCTTTTCCACACCCACATTGATTGAGTCGCACATTGATTTATCCAGAAAAGGTTTTCATTATTATAAAGTATTCCATCAAATAATGTTCTCTAATGCTGGGCATACACTGTGTGATTTATTTATTTTTTTGCTCATTTTGAGCCGATTTTTCAGTCGTGCGACCGTTTTGGCTTTCATCGTGTGTCGTGCATCGTGTAGTATACGTGGGGTAACGAGAAGCGATTAACACCTCATGACCAGCTCCCGATCATCAATCACTTGGTCGTAAGAAAATCAAACCTGTTTGAAATCCTGTCGACCGTCGTGAGGGTGTCACCGCAGCCTCTCACACTGCGCACACGCAAACACAGAAATGAAAGTGAAAAGACGGAGCAGCACAGCGGTGCAGCGTATGATCTTGGACACAAGCGATGGAGGCACAACTTGTAGAACTTTGGCAAGCTCATCTGAGCCTTTTCGATGTGGCCTCACAAAATTTTCATGACCACAACAACCGTGAAAATAATTGGATGGACATTGCTGCTCAATCGCAGCTGCCTGATCAGTGTTTTTCATTAGCAATTTAGCAAAGTTGATGGTGGCGGGTCTGTGTGAGTGAAAAACAGAGAGGGAGAGAAAGGGAGAGCGAGCGACAGATTTTCTGTTATAACCTTCATGTTATGGACGCACAGTGTGAGCACTCAGGTCGCATCAGAGTATCGGGCCGTATAGTGTGAGACCCTGCATCATCACCTATGAAATTCTAACCCCTGTGAGTCAATCGTACAGTTCAAGCAGGGGCTGAATAACGCGATTGAAAAAAATTGCACAGTGTATGTCCAGCTTAACTGAATTGATTTATCCAGATTGCTGATACAACATCCAAGACCCCACCCAGTTTCAAGTATTTTCTAACAGTAGAGTCTGTCTTAATAGAAAATATCAGTTCTCATTGTTTGGCTGTTTCACTGCAATACTAATTTGCTAAGGGTACAGGGGAGGTCGTTAAATGTTTTGTTTATGAAGCGAAGAGTTCATGTCTGAAAAAGCCACTTGGGTTAATGTGAGAATGAAATACTGAAATGCTTAGAATGCAGTTTGACACGGTCCAAGTGGACTGTCGTGTGTCTTTCAATCTGTGTAATGGTGACACACTATTTAAAGAAACTGTTAAAGGTGAACTGTGGTTTCACTTATCTTTTTTATTTAGGGACACATATAATGTATTTTATCCCCTTTGTAAAGAAACTGCACAAAATTATATAAATCTGTTGTCACAATCTGGGCGAAGCAGACTGTGTGGAGTGAGGACCCAAGTGCTGACACTGACAGTGCTGAAACAGTACAAAACAAAAGGGTAAGGGTGAAACTAAACTATAACCAAAACTGTGTGATCTAACGCTAACAAAAAAAAACCTGGAACATGAACATTAAAACCTGGCATGAAATACCTGGACCATGAAGGCTTGACATGAATACATGAAATCCCCCCAGACTGGACAAGGAATGAATGAAAACTCAGAGACTAAATACACACAGGAGGTGATATGGTGAAGTGGAAACACATGGGGAAGCAATGGTTTTACTTAACATAATGACGACACAGGGGAAGTGAAACTAAACACACTGAGCACAGAACACCAGAGCCTTTCAAAATAAAACAGGAAACATAACGGGAGGCAGACATGGCACACATGATAGACTAAGGTTGTGTCCACATTCATGGGCTGCATCCTCCTGAGGACCCGTCCTTCGCGGTCTACGTGGGCCGGGTCCTCAGAAGGTCAGGTAGGCGGGAAGTAAACAGCTGTGAAATTGGACGGTCTAGCCTTCAGATTTGCGTCACCGCTGTCTCGGTGGAGTTTAGTAAACTCAGCCGTCTGCTCCTTGCTATCTAAAATATAACAGGACACTGGTGTAAATTCTTGACCATCTCACACTTCTGTTTAATCAGTTTTCTGTTTGACGTGTATTCAGTTGTGTGAAAACCACACAGCTAGTTTTATTTTATCTAATCTAATCTAATAATTTTAATCTCAGCCAAACCGATTTACTCATGAACAAATAAAACACTGAAAAAAGCCAAACAATAACATTTTTAAGTTATGTAAGTGACTTTTATATCACGTTTAACCTGAGTAGCGAAAGACCGCGGTGATCTGAAAATGATGCGCCGGGAGTTTGACGTTTGACTAGTGACCCTCGAGCTCCCAGCTAGCTATCGAGCTGGTGGATAACAGACGTTTCCGAAAACGTCGGAGCACTTTTGCAAATATGTGGTATCTTGATAAACCGAGCAGATATTTGAAGTTTACACAGCTGCATTCTCGCCTGAAAATATGTTTATTTTGTGACCCAGAAAGAGTAATAAGAGTAATATTAAAAACTTAGCAGCGGCCACCATTGTTGGAAACTGGAACTGGCTGGGCCGCGCTATGAATTCTGGGATATGGTGGGCCACGAAGGACATACCCGACCCATCCTTCAAATTCTGGGAAAAAGAGGACACGTTTGTCGGCTGCATTCGGAGGAGTCTACAAATTTGGACAGCCTTCGTTGCGTCGCTGTGATGTAATCGGCCTTCAAATGCGTCCTCAGGAGAATGCAGCCCATTAATTTGGACACGACCTAAGACACACGGACACAGAGGAAGAAGGGAACTGGAGATAAGACATGGACATAACTAAGCACAAACAGACCATGATGGCTGGGAGGAAAAGGAATGGTTCACAAGGGGAATACGTGTAAGCAAGGGGGAGATGGCAGACAAAAACATTACTGAAACGCATTAAACACAAGGGGGTGAAGACACTAGGGGGACTCTAATAAACAGAACCTAGGCAAAATAGAAATGAGCTTAAGATAACTAAATGAGACTTAAATATAAACCGTAAACATCAAAATATAAAAAAACAAAAAACACTGTGTCAAACAACCCAGGATCGTGACGTCTGTAGTTTATCAGCTTTATTCATTCTTGTTAATATTGTATTATGTTTAATGTTACTCACTTCCAATCGGTGCACACTTCCTTCTTGGTGAGCAAACAGTAGGCTCTATGTTAACTGTGTATGTTTGTGTGTATTCTCAGGTGAGGAAGACGGATCCCTCCACACTGGTGTTTATAGATAATGCAGGGAGACCACAACAGTCCACAGACAACCTCAACTTCAAGCTGGTTGAGGGCATTGATGAGTGAGTATAAAACATTATGTCAGAGAAGAAGCAGGCAAATGAGATTTTTTTTTGTGTGTGCGTGTCCTTCAGTCTAGCAGTGAGGTTCAACAAATTACACCATGCCGATTGAGAAACTCATTTTAGCTCACAGCGGGTAGAAACAATGATGTAAGGAAATGTTCCAGGAAAAAATAAAACACATCCAGCAACATATTTCCCTGGTGACGTTTCTGATTTGAACAGCTTTCAAATCAGCAGCACAGAAACGTCCACTGGAAGCTTGTTAGATTTTTGTTACAATGTCTGTCTGATTAGATTAGCGTGCTTTCAATTAGCCTGCTATTCAGTATACTGAATGAATCAGCTCTGATAGAAATTCCCCTTTGTCTGTCACTTAGGATTACTAAGCTCTTCCATAAAATTCTCTTAAATATCTTAAGCCTGGACTTGGAGCTGAATGAAAATAGAATGTTAAAGTCACATATTATTTCTCATGACTGAAGATTAAAGAGCTAAATAAAAGAGAAACTTGTTAGTTTTCAGAGGTGTTACAGGACTAATTTTATTTTCTCAAAGCCTTGCAACTTGCTGTATTTAATTAATATAATTACATTTTAATATACATTCATTTTCACATGATAGTTATTCTTCCTTTTTTGTACACTTTATTGGGTTGAAGGTTTAATTTGAATTCATAAAATAAATTGTTTTTGTCAATAAATATGTCATTACTATACTGTTAAATTGTTCATGCTCATAATAAATATAGTGTGAAATATTGAAGTTAAATTAAGCCCAAAGCTCAGGCTTCAAACTTTGCTCTTTATGAGCAAAGAGTAGAAGAAAACTTTCAGAAATTGAGCGTTTAGCAGAGTGCTCTTTAAGAGCAAAGAGTAGATTTGCTCATAAAGAGCTGGATTTGAGCTGACCTCTAGGTCAGTCATACAAACAAAGCTCAAAAATTACATCTTCTTTTATACACATATCATCTTTTTTTGTCCACAACAGCTGCAGCAGTGTCGGTCTACTGGAATTAGATTGAATTTCTTGGCTGATGAATAAAAAACATTAAACTAAACTACTAGAAAGATTTAGGTTCCAAAAGTTGTTTTTGTGTTTTTCTTTCTCTTTTTTTCTTTTTAGTGTGGTGATTTGTTGACCTTTGCTGCTCTTGCAGCACTAGAGAATGGCTAATATTGATGTCTCTAAAGCTTTTTGCTTATGACTTATTGATTCAGGAAGCTTGAATCACCAAATGGCTTTCCAACCTGACAGAAGTCTGCACTGCATTATCACAAAAATCTAGTATGGCACAGCACTGTAAAATAAAAAAGTAATAATAATAATGTATGGCCTCCCTTTTCCTTGTTTGTGAAAATCTTCATTACAAAATCTCCCTGTATGATTATTGATCTGTTTGTGAAAAATCACGCAGAGACTCAGAGGCAGAGAACTATGGACAAAACAAAATTAACTTCAGATAAATTGCAGACAGAACAAAAGGCACAAATATTTAAAGGCAACAACAGGAAATCTGGCTTTGTTTAACCCGAAGAGCCAACAAAACTGAATTAAAGAGCAGATTACAAACAATAAGTTAAACGCCATCCTTCCAGCAGAAAGAAGCAAACATGTAGTATGAACACTCACATGCACGACATCTCCTATACAGGAGTATAGTACTCTGTGTGAAAGCATGAACACAACAAATCAGAAAAGTCCAGAACACCATTATTTCAATTCAGTTCAAAAGATACAACAGCAATCAGTGCTTTTGTGAGTCTGCCAGTGTCAGAGTTTTTATTGAAAAAATGACATATTCTTTCGATACAAAAACATGTTCATGCCTTTTTAATTTGTCATTTATTAAAGTTCTAAATATATATTTTACCTCAAAAGTACAGTTTTTAAATGTAATGTTACTGAAACAACAAAATAATAAAAAAAAATAAAAATCTATCTGATCGAGAAATCACTCATCTTTGGAAAAGAGAGTTTATTACAGAGAAACGTCTCTTTCCAAAATAAAAGCTATACTATAGCTTCTTCTGGGCCATATTCTCAGCAGCATATTAAACATATCAGGTCCCCATAAGGAGAATCATGTGCTAATGACTCGGGTAAAGTTTGTAGCATGCGTGCTTGTTGTTTTTGTCTGCTTCCACTTGTCTTTGCACTAGGATGATGTCGGCGTAAATGTGCAGTCATATTCATTGTGTTCCCACTAGTGCTGTCAGCGTTAATCTCGTTAAAATGACATTAACGCCATAACGCCGCAAATCTCCGTTAACGAGCTACCACGGATCGTCCCGTGTGTGGGGCTGGACGGCGTCAACATGTTGATGAGCTAACTGTGCTAACGCACTGCGTGGCACATCTAACATACTGTTTTACTTTTGTCCATGATGCGCTTACCTTCAGGGTCATGCTTCACATGAAAACCAAAATAGTTCCAAACGCCAGATCTGAATGAGGGTGGGGGAGGTTTAATTTTGGCTAGCGTTGAGGCAGTTGCCATGTTGCAACGAGCTTAGCTTCTGTCTTGCTAGCTTGCTCAGTGGATCTGCGCTCGACAGTGCAGCCTAGGCGGAGTATTTGAACGCAGATCCACTGAGTGCTCAACACAGACAGCATCGTCAGAAGAAGAAAATTGTTTGATACATTTGCGTACCAAACCGAAAGCACTGTATCGAACGGTTCAATATCGATACGAGTATTGTTGCACCCCTAATATATATATTATATATATATTTATATTATTAGATATAGATTATATAATATATATAATATATAATTAAACTTTGCAGTTATTTATTTGTAAAAATGTTTGGAATCATGTATGATTTTCGTTCCACTTCTCACGTGTACACCACTTTGTGTTGGTCTTTCACGTGGAATTCCAATAAAATTGATTCATGTTTGTGGCTGTAATGTGACAAAATGTGGGAAAGTTCAAGGGGGCCACTGTATATATAAAAAAAAAAAAAACACCCAGCACGCCCCTGCGGGCGGTTTATCCTTCAAGCTCGGGTCCTCTACCAGAGGCCTGGGAGCTTGAGGGTCCTGCGCAGTATCTTAGCTGTTCCCAGGACTGCGCTCTTCTGGACAGAGATCTCCGATGTTATTCCCGGGATCTGCTGGAGCCACTCGCCTAGCTTGGGAGTCACCGCACAGTCCATTACGGGACCACCGTACCTTCCTCCACATTGGCTCTCTCTCCGGATCACTCGTTCTTCTGATATCGCACGGGGACCACCGTTACCTTCACCCTCCACATCCTCTCGAGCTCTTCTCTGAGCCCTTGGTATTTCTCCAGCTTCTCGTGTTCCTTCTTCCTGATATTGCTGTCATTCGGAACCGCTACATCGATCACTACGGCCGTCTTCTTCTGTTTGTCTACCACCACTATGTCCGGTTGGTTAGCCACCACCATTTTGTCCGTCTGTATCTGGAAGTCCCACAGGATCTTAGCTCGGTCATTCTCCACCACCCTTGGGGGCATCTCCCATTTTGACCTCGGGACTTCCAGGTTATACTCGGCACAGATGTTCCTGTACACTATGCCGGCCACTTGGTTATGGCGTTCCATGTATGCCTTTCCTGCTAGCATCTTGCACCCTCTGTTATATTTTCATGTGAATATATATTATATATATATATATATATATATATATATATATATATATATGAAACCAAACTGGTTGAAAATTCAGTGAGTTCTGTTGATTTTATTTGTGAACACATGTCCATAAACATGGCTTGCCCATAAAAATATAACAGCACATCCGAGGATAAGAGTCAACCTTGAGGTGACTTTTAAAAATGCAGTTTTTAAAAGATTGTGTTGTATAGAATGCGACTTGTGTAATAATTAAACAACAGTCTCTTACACATCCTTAAGTGGAATTTCACCTTTGCAGAGTAAAGGGTATGGTATGCAGTGGGACGCATACAGTATGAAGGGCGGTAGAGTTTTCAAAACTTTATTTATACTTACACAAACTCAAAGAGAAGGACAACATGTTTTTTAATTGCTGTGTAGTTGTTGCTTTTTGATTTTTTAGAAGAAGCTGAAATGGGGCTGTTAAGCCACGCCCCTGAGAGGTAATGAAGAAAAGTGTCAGCTTCCTTTTAATGAATCAGCCGGGTTCAAAAACTAATGATGGCTGAGGGAGTATCTGCTGTGTAATAATCACTATCAACATGAATTCTTCTTGTGACACAGAGTGACTCCACCTCTAGCACCGTCACCAAGTCTAAAAGTGTACTCGTATATTAAAAATATACAGTTTGTGTGTAACTTCAACATTGAAGTAGAAGAGCATCCCAGCAGAATGAACCTTTTTTTGATAATCCACAAGTTTTCTTCTTATGCCACCCTCAGGCTAAGATGTCAGCCTTCAGTAGCCTTGTAGCCTTTATTCTAGCAGCATGCTCAGGGCAATTTTTTGAACTTTTCATTGTAAAGCATTTTCTTCTTTTAAAGTGTTCTGTACAAATCAGGCTTGTCGCCATTGTTTCATCCCTGGCACTGCTAAGACTGTGAGAAAACCTAAATCATGAGCAGGTTCTTTGTTTTTTCCTATATTGTGACGAATAAAGAACATGACGATCTTTAGAGTCTGCACACAAATATTTTAGTTTTCTAGTCTGTGAAACAGCCATTAAAGCTACAACATATCAAAACCAATGTTATGTCTTTTGTCAGATTTCCAGAGAAAGCTGTGTCTGTGCTGCGCTCAGGCTGTCTGGAAAGTCTTCTGCTACGCTCCCTTTACACAGACAGGGAATTCTGGGACAGCCACGGCGGGTCCAGCGGTCTCGGGCCTCTCATCCACATGGTGGAGCAGAGAGGAAAAATTCTCCTGCAGCACATCGGGGACAAAAAGCTTCAGCTCAAGAGGGATCTGTGACTGACCTGATCAGGCCAGCCTGGATTATAAAGTAGATGCAAACTGCATCTATTAGCTGTCGTCAAAGAGAGCAAGAGTCTCTGGAAGAAAAGAAGCCTGCAGCAATGAAATGCATTGTATAATTTAAAGCACAAACGTCATTAAGATTGAAAAGTGCGCCGAGGCACAATGAAAACAGATTTAGAATGGTTTTTGCAGTGCAGAGTCATCCAGGGCTTGCATGGTGGAATAAAATATTTAAATGTGTGCAAACAGATCAACAAAGCAACAAAGTGGACTGAAACACTGGGAGCTAAGTGCACTGCCTGGCAGCCCGAGCCCAGCAATTCATGAACATGTTTGACTTTTTCACTTCATATACGCCTTTCATTCTTCGTTGGTTAGTCTTAGTGTTCTGTAGTATTGGCTGTACAGCAGATACAGTATTTTTAAAAGGTGCAACTGCAACTGCTTTTAGGTCAGCTGGAGAGATGGACCCCTGTGCTCTTGCATTCTGGTCTGCACTTTGTAAAGATGCTAAAGGGCCCTCTAGACTGACCAAATGTCAGCATGTGGTGCTTTTAGAGTAAGATTGAGTTGATACAAAGCACTCTGAAACTTTCTAAAGGTATATTGCAATTTGCGTTATTTCACCAAGTCCTACCACAAAAGACAGTTCTGTTTTCACTTAAAGTTTGATGTCTAGGCTTCAAGCTCATCACTCCCACCACATATGATTCACACAGAAACTAGGGAGTGATGACTAAACATCCTCCCTGGAGCCTACAGGTTGATGGAGGTAGAGACCCCGGACAGCAGAGCCATTAATATGTCAGAGGGAGAAATGGGAAATTTGGGAATGAAGGAAGACCGCTAAGGTTTCGGCAGGTATATGACATAAGGAGAGATAGTGTGTATGACTTACCAGCCTGAGCTCACAAGCTTCACTCCATTTAATTCATTACAAAATAAAGTGTGTTGTCATGTCTCTGCTTTAGCCATTTTTATTGTTATTATTCAGGAAACAGATTCAAAACTAAACCTGAAGATGTGTCATTGTGTGTACCCGGTTAAAAAAAGAGCCAGCAGTCCTAAATTTGATTGACTCAAATTAGGGCTGGGCGATATGACCCAAAATTCATATCTCGATATTTTTTTGCTGGATGGCGATATACGATATATATCTCGATAAAAAACTTTTTTAAAGCCATGATGTAAGAACAAAAAGAGAGTTGTGTCATGGTCTGGTTGGGCACCTGCAGGTCTCAGACAGCGGCTCCTCCTCCTTTAGGCGGAGTCCGGTTGCCCCTCCCGGGCTGACCACCTGTGAGCAATCGTGCCAGCGGTATATCAGACCTGCGCTCTCAACCCCTCATCGCCTGAGTATCTGCTATTCTCAGTGATAGCACCCGGAGTGGAGATCTTGTTCCCCTCGCTCCCATCCTCCTGGACCGGGGCCGCCAGCTGCTTACACAACGTGGCCTGCCGGCCCACCGCTCACCTGCCTGCCTCCCCACGCCTCGACCGCTTCCGGATTTTCTCCCCCTCCTGTCCCCTCCATCTGAAACCAAGTAAGGCAATTCAATTCAACTGCGGAGGATTGTTGGTTGTCTGCTGGATCCCTCTGATCGTGATCTCCTCTTGTTCCAGTGCCCCCGGCCCCTGCCTAGTCCTGTTTCTACCTCCCCGCTGTCAGCTGTCTCCTAGAGGTGTCTAGGTCGCCCTCATTATCCCTGACGAACCCTACGCGCCACTAGTGTGGTGGCGTCGCTTTATGTTTTACCTTTGTTTACCTGTGGGCGGAATAAATCATTTGTTTTCAGTCACCTCGCTTCCGGGTTGGTTTCTGCGCCTGTGTCCATCCCTGTTCCCTCGTGCCGCTGGGCCGTGACAAGTTGTTAGTCAAAGCTGTGGCCCAGATGTCACACAGGCACTTTTATTAACATACAGCGTAGATGTACATGAAGAAATTACTCAAAAATAAATTATCAGCATTTATTAAATCAGTGGTTCCCAAACTTTTTTTGCTAGGCCCCCCTTTGTTTTACAAGAAAAATGTTCATATTCAGCTATGCTTCATCTCCTGCGCCCCCCCTGCAATGGCTCTGTGCCACCCCTAGGGGGCGGGCCCACACTTTGGAAAGGTCTGTATTAAATAATAATGCTCCATAAATAAAAGAAAACAATGTTGTTTTTGTGGATAACAAAAAGCTCACAATTGTGCAGTCAAAATGTAAACTAAAAGACGATGAGCATAATAACAAAGACAGACAGATTTCACAGCTGCTCTATTCCCAAGGTCTACTGCGTGACTGACAGCCTTGAGTTTGAAATCCTCTTTGTAACCATGCCTCTTAACAGGTGCCATTTATGGCCCTTATATACACACAATACAGTAATATTACGTTGAAGCACAGTACGTATCACTCCACGAGGCTAAAGACTACGGTAGCCGTAATGCTCCGACAATCCATAAGCGGTGCTGCTCTGTAGCTTAACAAAGTCGTACTAAAACATTTTTTGACAGATTGCTGAGCGTCGTGTACCACATAAAAACGGTTCGCGGTCAGTAAGCACAACCAGAATTCATACATAAGGCGCACTGTCGATTTTTGAGAAAATGAAAGGATTTTAGCGCGGTTAGCTCGCTAACACGTTGACGCCGTCCAGCCCCATGCACGGAGCGATCTGCGGTAACTCGTTAACGGAGATTTGCTGTGTTCATCTTGTCGTTGCCTGCAGGTGAAGCTATGGGTGAGGGGGAGCTGTGTTCAGTGAAGGAGAGGCGAGGCCAAGTAACGTTGCGTAGAGACAAAAGTGGACGAAAGAGGCAAACTTGCGGCTCCACAAGTATAATTATAACGTAACATATACTATATCGATATAAACGATATTGTCACATCTTATATCTCGTATGAAAATATATAGATATTTTTAAAAAAAAACTTGATATATCACCCAGCCCTAACTCAAATGGTTTGATCATCTGCAGAATATGCAATACCGCTGTAGCTCCATCTGTTCTTCAGGGCGCCTGTCACTGCTTTTCATTGAAGCCTCCCATCTGCACTCAGTAGCTTCTCCCCAAATGTTGCCTCATTGAAGGGAAATGTGAGACAAATTATCCCCCGTTTCCTCTGTTTTAATATTACAGAGAGCTAGCAGCAGATCGAGTGATTGATTTGGAAATCTGCTTTTGTGAGATAAACTTTTAATCGAGGGATTAAAACTGGCTGTCAGCAAATAGCTTCTGGAGCAGATCCTGGAAGCTTTTTCATTTATAAAAAATTACTAAATATATTTAGATATTTTTTTCTATTGCAAACTGGCTGAAATTGTACATTGTATAATACAAATAGTGAATCTAAAGTTGAAAGAAAATTTTATAAAAATCAAATACCATTAGTGAAGGAACAGAACTGTGGTCTTTCTGTTTGAGCAGCACGTATTTTAAGCTTCACTGTCAGAAAAAATCCCTTTTGGTATGTTGCTATTGTGAGATGCACAGATGATATCAGTTGAAGCTGTTTTATGTTTGACCCGTTCTGAATTAAAATTCCAGGCATATTCAATTCACAGATTAATGACATTTTCTATGGCTCCCTCTTTCATCACTGAATAAATGGCTGTAATGAGAAATGATTCAGATGTGTGATCCTCTCTTCATCACCACTCGGTCTCTTTTACATGAAATATTTTTCCTTTTTTTTTCTCAGTTTTTTTCTTTTTTCAGTCCGCTAACTGTGCTGGCTGCTGTTGGATTTTGCTATTTTTACATCGGTTCGGTCCAGCTCATTAAGCCCCATCTGGATTATGCCATACTTAATGCTTTCAGACATAAATAGTAAATCCTTCATACTGTACTAAGGACGGCAGTTCAAATACCAGAACACTGGGACTAAAGAAAGGCAACAAAATGAAGAAAGTGGTCACAGTCAGATAGATGAGTGTTTACAATACCAGGATTAAAGCTGCAAGCATCGTTATGAAGGCCATCGCACCCCGTTGCGTCGAGCCACGCCCAACACCTACACCCAGCATGTTAGATCTGATGTCACATGGAATTCATGTGTAGAACCACCAGGTAAAATTTCATGTGAATCAATGATGATTATAGTCATCCCACTAGGTGGCGCTCTAACCATCGCTTATCAAACATTTCTGAGCTTGACTCTTGACTCATGCCTGCGTCGTTTGGGTGAGATTGGACATTGTGTTTTTGAGTGACAGCAGATTACTGCTTTTTGGCGAATGATTGAAACTCCACGTGCCGCCCTGACCATCCCGTTTCCCTAAACATAAAAAGCTTCGCAATTTAACATCACAGAGGTCTTTAGATTCCATGCATTGGAGATCACGTCGTTCTGATGAAATCCCTCTGAGGAGTTCATCAAGGTACGAGGCCTGAAAAGAGGGAAAAATTAAGCCAAAATTACATGTTCAATTCAAAATGGATGACTTCCGGTTGGTTTTGGAATATTGCTCCAAGAGACTTTTTTGTACATCTTGATATCTTACATAAACTTACCAGGTTTCAGACTCATAGATGAAACACAGAGCAGGGGCTGAAATTTTGTTGGGGGCGCTGTGGAGCCATTTTACAATATTCCATTAAAATGATCACATAACAAGAAAACCTTCAACACATTGGAGGTGTGGACCAAATTTCAAGAGTTTTTAAACTTTCCAAGCCCCTCAACACCCACTTCATCTTTCATGGTGAACCGCCATGCCACCAGGGTTCACCATTCCGTTTAAACTCACAATTTTCTCACTGAAGCATCATCAGCGACTGATGTTAATATTCACTGCTTTTGAGGTGGACCTGATGAACCTGTGAAAATCAGTATATCAAAGTGAAAGACATGACATTTTCTGTTCCCACTAGGTGGCGCTCTCCGTATTCCTGACAATGAGCATATCAATCTGTTCAGGGCAGGTCTGTCATCATATCTGTAAAGTCTGGTACTGATCAGACTGTCTTTCTTTTAGTTACACTAATTTGTTTCTTCATGGCGAGACATCAATGTTCGCCATGCTGCTGGGGTCACACCGTTTCGTGAAAACTCACACTTTTCACTGTAACCCAAGACCAACTCCTTAAGGCTTTCCTGGAGAAATCTGAGGCAGCGCGGGTTACCCATCACTAGGGATGGGTATCGTTTAGGTTTTATCCGATACCGGTGCCAAACCGGTACTTTTGAAACGGTGCCGGTGCTTATTGAGAGTAAAAGCGATATGCGCTTTCACGTCTTTTTTTAGCGACTTTTTTTAGAGAAAAAGTCGCTAAGGGGTCTGAAAACTCGCTAAATACAGCGACAAAGTCGCTAAGTTGGCAACACTGTGTGGGATACTTTTTGCCCGTGATTTGAAGAGCCCAGCGCGGCTCCCGACGCAGGGAAAACCAATTCTGTAGGGGAGACCTACCTGGCACTTGTGCAGGTAAAGCCAAAGGGAAGTTATGCTTCACCATATTTTCTAGTCTTTGGCTTGAATGAAGTTGGTTTGGAAACATATTCAGCTGCTTCACCTCCTGCTTTGCGTTTGTGTGGGCGCCCCGTGCTTGCAGTGTCCAAAGTGTGGGGCCCGGGAAGCTCTGAATTATGGTAAGTAAAAAAATGCTTACATTCTAGAAAAATAAACTTTGTGCCAAAAAACCAAACGTAAACAGGACTTCAGTGGGTGGGTTCTTGGCCCATCTCTGAATTCTTGACAACTATGGGATTGACTGGCTCAATATTTGATAAAAGTTGGGCTTCATCACTTCAAATTTCAGTGCGGTTATAAACCCATAATATAATAAATGCATTTAGAAAGATAGCAAATCACATCATTCTGAGTGAAGAATGAAAAATGCTCACATGCTCTCCATATCAGTATAGGTGCTCTCTTTTAATTCATTGATTTAGCAGTATCCACAGACCCCTTCTCAGTGTAATGTGCCATTTCTGTTCATCTTGTGAATAAAGCTATTTACCAACTTTACTGAATGAAATTAGTTTGCTTCCCTCCCTCCTAGCAGAGCGTGGTTTTAACACGTAATGTCCTTTCTGTTAGCCTCAGCTGTCTCCTCTCGACTGCACAGTTCTATTTATGATCACCAAAAACTGCTACGTTAGCATAGCTACTGTAAATTATTAACATTTAAACTTTTCAATTGGTAAAAACTGCCGGCTGCATCTACACCTACCTGTGTCCTGCCACATCTTGAGACTGAACTAACTGCACCAGCCAGGGGATCCAAATCCTTGGCTTCGATTCAAACTATGCAACATATTCTTAGAAATACAAATTCATGTTTTTTTTTTTTCAACTTACTCTTTCCAAATCCTGAACAGGTGTCGAGTCAAACTGGTAAACCTGTAAACTGTAATTTTTCCTTTGTTTATTCAGTGACTGGACATTAGATTTTAGCCCCGATTTAGCCATTGTGATGTAAATGTTACCTCACATAAAAGATTTAAATAACCTCCCTCTTTAAATAAAAAATGACAACGGGTAGTGAGAGCAGCGGAGAGGATTGTGGGGACCTCTCTTGTCTCCCTCCCCAGGTGATCTACTGCGCCTGCCTCATCCGGAAGGTCCTCTCCATTACAGGTGACTCCACTCATCCCTTCAACAGCTTCTTCAGTTTGCTGCCATCAGGAAGGATATTGAAGAGCCTCCGGGCCAGAACCTGCAGACTGAGAGACAGCTTTGTCCATCAAGCTCCATCAAGCTGTCAGGATGCTGACCAACTCTGAATCGAGAAGGGGGGCCCAAGGGTACATCTTTCGCCATCTTACAATGCTGTGATTGCAGCCATTCCCCAACTCTCTGTGAATGGTACTCATGGCCATTCGAGAATCTGTGTCTTTGATTAGTAGTCGTTGATCAATGGTCATAAGAATTTGCATACTAACAATCATGGAACTAACCCCCCAGCCCATTGTTCATTCAGTGCTGCTAGTTTCCTTCACTATGCAAATGTACTGTTTATAAGGTTGGGGAAACCTGCAGTCAGCTGAGAATG